TGTGAGAGAGAGAGTGTGTGTGTGTGTGTGAGTGTGGGGTGTGTGTGTGTGTGTGGGTGTGTGTGTGTGTGTGTGTGTGTGTGTGTGTGTGCGTGCGTGCGTAACCTCAGTCAGTAGCATTGAGGTGATAATTTTCTAATGGCTGTGCTGCCAGCTAGATCATCAGTAAAATCCACTCACAGAATTTTAAATCTCCTGATTAAAAAGGCAGTATAATTGGTTGTATTTAGATGATTAGGTTTTGAGTCTTTCTCAAGAGAAAATTGAGTGTGTGTGTGTGTGTGCATGTCAGAGGTGTAAAGAGTACCTAAAAACCATACTTGAGTAAAAGTACAGATACCTTACAGTGAAAATTTCTCCACTACACGTTACAAGTCACCAATTCCAAAACAACTTGAGTAAAAGTCTTAGAGTATCTGATTTTAACAGTACTTAAGTATTTTCTTATAGGCTCAAAGATGCACTAGTCAAAGAGACATACCAGCAGTACTTTCAGTGACCTGTAATAGGCAGTATCACATCTTTTGTAGCAGAAATGAACTGCTGCAGAAAAAGCTAGGTCCATGGCATGCAAAATGTAATGTGTAACTGCAACACTCATTTCAAATGTAGTGGAGTAAAGAGTACAGATACTCAATCAAAAATGTAGTAAAGAGTAAAAGTTGCTAATATCTTTGATACTCAGTACAACTACAAAGTACCCGAAAAGATACTCAAGTACAGTAACTAATTACATTTTCTCCAATACTTTACACCTCTGGCGTGTGTGTGTGTGTGTGTGTGTGTGTTGAGGAGTGATGGAAGGTTTGTATTTCAATTGAACTTTGGCTAAGCCCCATCTAAAAGAAGTCGTATTATGCTTTTTCACTTTTTTTTACTTTAGTTAGTGTGTAATGTTGCTGTTTGAGCATAAAAAGTCCACTCTAAAGGGACATATTCTCATTAACAGAAAACACATTTCAAGAACTACAACAAACAGCTCATTCGGACTACAGCACTCCTCTTCTGGATGTTGTGACGTCACAATGTCACTCATTTAAATAATTCCAGCTGCGCTAGAGACCATAGACTGTAAAAAATAAAAAATAAATAAATAAACAAAACAAATTGTAATGGCAAAATTGCCGCCATCATTAATATTTACAGCTGAGCAGATTAAAATAGGAGCCCTTTAAAAATATTACTGACAATCATGCCTTGGCAACTGTTGCCATCTGTCATGTTTTTTCATATTGAAAAAGGCTTTTTCTCTGTAAAATATCAATTAAATAATTAAAATTCTGTTGATAGAAAGCTCCAGTTCATTCATATGGGATGTTCTGTAAGTGAGCATTGGCCTTCAAGACTGTCAAGCAGCACTTTCATCATGGATTATACTACAAGAGCAGGGGGAACGAGTACTTCACTAAGCACTAAGAAAGACACACTGAGAAAAAGTGTGAGGTTTGCTTTGTTATGTGCTCTGTGTAAGCGGAGTTTCACTTATATGCCATCTCCTGTTAAAGATCTACTTCAGCATGAATGAAACCTTGTGTGTGTGTGTGTGTACAATACACAGCACACGCTTACATTGTTGCTTATTGATTTATGGAATTCATGGAGTATCACACAATTACCCACCTGACTTTTTGCACACCTTGCACATTCAATAAACACACACACACAGACTCATACACACACTGCTTTTAAACTGCAGTATCCTAGCAACTACAATGCTGAAGGACTTACATGTGACTCTATATGTTTTAGTGTGTCTGGTGTGGTCACCACATGTAATGCATTGTGTTTCTTCGGTTAGTGTAGAATATCACTGGATGAATCAGTTTCCGGTTGAACACAATGTTCTGCACCGTCTCAGATGGTCACTGGTCATTCAACTCACGCCACAGAATATTTCATCTATCGGTTCTCCCTCTGCAAGCTTATTTCCGAAAGGAAAAAGATGCTTGAATGCTTGCTGAGATCACATTCATGCACACACCACACATCTAAATTGGAATGGACCATAGACTTCTATTGTTTTTATATAGTGTAAAGTTAATTATAACTATTTCCATAAATGTAACATTTTTGCATTTTCAGAATTAAAGAAAAAAATTGTGTTTGCTTGATATAAATGATTTTCCAATTTATGCAAATTCCATCAATTACTAACTTGATTTATTTATTTATTCATTCATTGTTATTTTTTAATCCAGGTATTATCATCTAGGATGTTAGCTAACTTTTATGGGGATCTATGTCTGATCAACAGACAAATGTGTGTTCATGAGATGATAATTAATGTCTCGCTCTGTCTCTCTTTCTCTCTCTCAGTGTTAAGTATAGGAGAAGGGGGTTTCTGGGAAGGGACGGTGAAAGGAAGAACCGGGTGGTTTCCTGCAGACTGTGTGGAGGAGGTACAGATGAGACAGTTTGATCCTCAACTTGGTAAGAAGTGGCACACAAATACACATTTGCATACAAATAGTGCTGGGCAATATATTAAATATTTATACTGTATTAAATATTATTCTGTTGGCAATATAAAATCAACCAACATTATGAGAATTGTGATTAATTTAACATGTTTTTTGCCTTTAGAACTGTGCCGGTATACTAGTTTTGCACCCGCAACTTGTTTGATTCATTTGAGTCGGTTCTTTAAAGTGTCAGTTTCATTGAATCGGTTCAAAATGATTCATACTCAAGAATTTAGCTTTAAATTGCCTTAAAATGTGGTCATTTATATTATATTGTTATATTATACTTTTATTGTGTTAAATGTTATATTTATATTAGATTATTAGATTATGCTATATTTTATGGCATTTTACTGCATTTATTGTAGTTGCTCCAATAATTTTGAATCTAAATGCTGAAATGATGATTCAAAATCAAATTTGTGCATTTGGCAGGTGCTTTTATTCAAAGTGACTTACTTTGCATTCAAGCTATAATTTTTTTTCTATTCATGGATTTTCTAGAAACATACACTCTAAAAAATGCTGGGTTGTTTCAACCCAACTTTGGGTCAAATATGGACTAACCCAACTTTTGGGTTAAAAATGTAATGTAAAAATTTAACCCAATGGTTGGGTTAGACCATATTTGACCCAAAGTTGGGTTGAAACAATCCAGCATTTTTTAGAGTGTACAACTCTCGACTGTCACATGCATGGTTTTCAACAGTACAGTATGTCTGTAGATAAAAACTCATAATCATATGATCCACACAAATAGTCCTCTCTCCATGTGTTTTACTCTCTGCTGTCTGTTCGATCTTTCTCTCTGTCTCCCTCTCTCTCTTTCTCTCTCTCTCCCTCTCTCTCTCTTATAAATGCTGTTTTTGGAGGTGTTTGTCATTTTTAGGGCCATGTATTGAGATCAGGCAGGCAGGCAGGCAGGCCAGTGTCTGTACTAAACATCCCATTTAAATGCATTGTGAGAGTGTGAGAAAGAGAGATGAAAAATTCCCACACACTTTTTTCTGACTTGGCACGTGACCAATAATTCAAACACGCACACATAGAGAAACAGGTTAAAGGAGAGCTCAGAGTGATGTATTGCCTCCATCCTTTGAGAGCTTTCTAGAAATGAAAGATCTAATGATGCCAGGAAACCACTGGCAAGCCCCTGTAGATGTGTCTCCTGTAGAGCACCAGGGTGTTTTCCCATCAGCAGAGACTGGTTATATAGCAGAATCCTTCCATTTTCACCATTTTATACATGTATAAATTGGCAGATCGACGAGTTTGTTTCTGATGCTCTGAAGAAGCATGTGTTTAGGATTACTATTTAAAAACCACAGATTTAGAACTACAGGCCTGATGTTTTGTTTAATATTAGCTTGCCAGCCTGAAAAGTGGAAATTCAGATGTGGGATTTTAATAACGTCTTGAGACATCAGCCATCTTTGAAAAAGATTTGTAGAATATTGTTGGCTGTAGTATGTTAGACTGAAAGCTATATGCTACGTTTATAAGCTTGTTGTTGTAGAATGAGATAATCCAAAAAAAAAAAAAAACATTGATAATAATAAGAAATGTTTGTTGAGTAAATCAGCATATTAGGATCATGTGGCACTGAGGACTGGAGTAATGATGCTGAAATTTCGGCATTGCATCATAGGAATAAATTACATTTTAAAATTCATCCCAATAAAAAACTGTTATTTTAAATTGTAATAATATTTCAATTTTTTTTCAGTTTTTACTGTATTTTCGATCAAATATGTGCATCCAATACATGAGCATACAAGAATTCTTTCAAAAAAATCATACCGACCCCAAGCATTCTGTTTGAACAATAGTGAATGTATAAAAGGCTTTGATAATTGTATTTCTTCATGTGTGTGTGAGAGCCTTAACGCTGATAGTTTCTCCCCTCTCATTTCCTTTAGTTTCATTAGAAAAGAGCATCGATTCTCCTGAGAACAAAGATTGTAACAACCAGTAAGATCCCTTGAGACCACACTTAATTTGTAATTGGTCTCATTTTTCCCATTAGAATAAAATGAACAGTTTCTCTCCTTTTTTGCTTCAGATCACATGTATACACAGACACACACACACATTTGCAAACACAGCGCTATTGCATTTTCCAATTTATGACGTCTTTCTAATGGAGGAAGCACTGTTTGTTTTGCTGTCTACATCCTCTTTTATGGGCATCTGTGTGCACATAACTTTGAAGTATGTGCGGATATAGTGATTTTTACTGTACACGGGGCAAATCTACACACACCCTATGGAGTCCTTTTAGATCAATTTAAAAAAAATTTTTTTTCTAATTTAAGAGGGGTTTGTATGTTTAAACCCAACATACAAAATCTCTGCTAGAAAAACAAGAATTTGTGTAATTGGACCTTTAACTTAGTTATTACCTGTTTCCTTATTACCCTGCTGGTAGAAGTTGTAACTACACCATTCGGACCCAAAAGATGCAATTTGGTGCAGATGCTGTTATTTATATTGCCAAAAATTGACATGAGAACTCAATCTCTGCAAGTGCTGTGAGTTTGACTCATTTATAATGTGCATGTAAAAATGCAACAGGCATCAAATATCTTCCCAAGTTTGTAATGAGAAATGACAAAAGAGAAGCATTTCAAAAGAGAAGTTTCCATGCGAAAAAATGAAAGCCCTATGAAAAAAATAAATATTAGTATTCTAATTGTACTTAATTGATTTGTTTAATTTTTATAATTTGATTAAATAAATACAAATTAAGTAAATAATAATTATATAAGTAACTAAAAATAAAATACAATTAAATTAAAATTGCAATTAGATGTGTTTCCCCAATTTGTTTTGCCTTTTTTTTTTTTTTTATGAAATAATGCATATACAGTTTAATGGCTGGTCAATTTTCTCAAGTCATCAGCCATTGGCAGGTGTGGCAAACTGTAAGTTTTAGGCCCTGTTTACAAGCTATCCTGCTATCCTTGGCATGCTAACAAGCAGCTTTCTCCAGGTATTCCAGTGCTGTTTGAGTGTGTTTCAGCACCAACTGTGGTGGACAGCTCCCTGACGTCAGGAAACTGGAGACTAGTCCAGAACTGCAGCGCTTCACTGTATGACAGATGCACCGTGAAGTGTGTGTGTGTGTGTGCCTACATCTGCACTCTCCAATCTCTAGTATCTCTGCTCTAAAGCTGGTAACACTAGGCAGTCTGTAATAGGATTGCATAATGCTGCTTATGAGAGTGTGTTGCTGTGTGTCATTGTCCAGACACTCGTCACAAGCTATCGGTCAATTAAACAATGTGTGAAGACAGACCTGTCATCTGTCCATCTCTATCAAGACCCGCAAGAGTGAAAATGAGCGTGTGTGTGTGTGTGTGTGTGTGTGTGTGTGTGTGTGTGTGTGTGTGTGTGTGTGTGCGCGCGCGTTATTGTGACAAATGAGGACATACATTTGTATAATGACAAGGGTATGACATAGGTATTGCAAGGAGAAGGTGACTTTTCAGGACATTACCCCATGTCCCCACTTTTCAAAACGCATATAAATCACACAGAATGGAGTGTATTGAAAATCTGAAATAGCACAAAGTTTCCTGTGAGGGGTAGGTTTAGGGGTAGGGTTGGTGTAGGGCAATAGAATATACGGTCTGTACAGTAGAAAAACCATTATGCCTATGGGATGTCCCCACTTTTCACAAAAACAAACCTGTGTGTGTGTGTGTGTGTGTGTGCGCGCGCGTTATTGTGACAAATGAGGACATACATTTGTATAATGACAAGGGTATGACATAGGTATTGCAAGGAGAAGGTGACTTTTCAGGACATTACCCCATGTCCCCACTTTTCAAAACGCATATAAATCACACAGAATGGAGTGTATTGAAAATCTGAAATAGCACAAAGTTTCCTGTGAGGGGTAGGTTTAGGGGTAGGGTTGGTGTAGGGCAATAGAATATACGGTCTGTACAGTAGAAAAACCATTATGCCTATGGGATGTCCCCACTTTTCACAAAAACAAACCTGTGTGTGTGTGTGTGTGTGTGTGCGCGCGCGTTATTGTGACAAATGAGGACATACATTTGTATAATGACAAGGGTATGACATAGGTATTGCAAGGAGAAGGTGACTTTTCAGGACATTACCCCATGTCCCCACTTTTCAAAACGCATATAAATCACACAGAATGGAGTGTATTGAAAATCTGAAATAGCACAAAGTTTCCTGTGAGGGGTAGGTTTAGGGGTAGGGTTGGTGTAGGGCAATAGAATATACGGTCTGTACAGTAGAAAAACCATTATGCCTATGGGATGTCCCCACTTTTCACAAAAACAAACCTGTGTGTGTGTGTGTGTGAGAGAGAGATTTAGCATCGATTACTGAAGCGATTTTGGTCATGCATATCATATTCTGAAGCCTGAACTAATGTTCATTCAGATTTCACTCTGAGCTCACTGCTATGTCGTGACTCGAGTGACATCAATCTCATTCTCTTGAGCTCTCTCATCCTCTGTCTCTTTCTTCTTTGCTTCTTTTCTTCCCTCATTCTCTGTAGTTGACCTCAGTACTTAGATTAGAGTTCTGTAGGTTAGAAGATTAGCATATTTATTTGAATTAAGTGTATGTTTTTTGTAATTAGGCATATATTTAACAGTATATTTATTTAACATTTTTACCTAAATCTTTCAGTATAGTAGAATAATGTGTGGTTTTTAGTGCATGTGTTGAGATAATCTATATGCTTCTGTACTTTTAAACTTTACATTTTAAACTGTACTTTTAAATAGTAATCCTCATTTTCATCCAGTGAAATTCTATCTTGAAGGACAGTATCCCTCCCTTTTCTTAGGACTAGCAATTGACAAATTATTATTCATGGCTGTTACGGAAACTAAACACTATTGGTTATTTAAAAGGGGGAGGGGCTGTTCAGTATGCACCACCCCCAGTGTTATCTATCTATATCTATATGTTTATTACTAGCTT